TTTTTTTTTTTGAAATGCATTTGCTCAGTTTTGCGGAATTAATTTGCAGATGAACAGTTGTATTCCATTATACAGATGTTTGTATGTGGACATGTGAAACGGAATTTTTACTGAACACACAGATAAACAGCAGCAGCAGCACGTGAATTTGTTCGCTAAAAACATCAATTTGAACATTTGAAAACAGTGCTTTTTTCCTTTCATAAATGACGGCTTTTTTAACACTATGCAATTGTTTCACATCATTAATTGTTGACTGTAGACCAGAAAAAAATGTTGGTTGACTGTGATCAAAAATGGTCAAATTTTTGATACTTTTAAGCCCATACCTCAAATTCAAATGTTCAAAACACTTGCATTAACGTCATAAAACCACTGAATTAAACCTGTGCAATTTATACTGCTGAAAAATAAATGTCTTGCCCAATTGGTTTGCTCAAATTTGCTGGTTAAAAGTTTAGACATTCTTGTGCATCTGTACAAAAATATGGTTTAACTTTTGATCCGAGTAGTCGATCGACCAAAAAATATGAAAAAGAAAATAGGAAATAAAATATTAAAAAAAAAATAAATAATAACAGAAGATCTGTGCCATATATTCACATCAAATTCCTTATATCTGATGAAATCAGCACATATGCAGTGCAATTTTTTCCTATTTGTTGTCTTTTTTCTGACTACAACAAATGCGGAATGACAGTGAAATATTATTTATTTACCCTTTTCCCGCCTATGAAACTAGTCAAGAAACAAGGCTAAAACACTGGATGAATATACACACCTGCACGAAAAACTAACGTATTAACAGAAATATGTTGAACATTTTTGCACGATAGCACATACTACAATCACTTCTAACAGGTGTCGAAAATCAAATTGATAAGGAGGAGCCAGTTAGTCAATCAGAAATAAATTCAATTATATCAGGTTTTGCATTGGAACACTTCTTATATACAGTAACAATAAACGATAGTACAAATTAATTAGAAAAGGAAGTCTGAATCACGGTGCCAATAAGTCGGTATTTATTGTTGAGAACGAAGGACATGTCGGAATGTTTAACCAATCTAAAATACGAAAGTGAAACTAGCATAAAACAAAAATTCCAGTACTCTTATAGATTCTTCAATGTATTCCACTAGACAATGTTGATTACCTTTTTCAAAGCTTGATCAAGATCCTGAATCAAATCTTCAACATCTTCGATTCCAACAGACACTCTGATTAAGTTATCTGTTATTCCTAGCTTTTCACGTTCCGATGCAGGCACTGATGCATGTGTCATAACTGCCGGTAGTTCAACCAAACTTTCGAAACCTCCAAGCGACTCAGCTAAGGTGAATATCTAAAAATATTCAGAAATCTTCGTTTGTTCATCAAATGGCAAAAAAAAATTAGAAAAAATTTGACTTGCCTTTAAATTAGCAAGAAATTCGCGTGATTCTTCCATACCACCTTTGATGTAGAAAGATAACATACCGCTCATTCCTTTAGTTTGTTTCTTGTGCAAGTAATGTTGTGGATGTGATTCCAATTCCGGATAAAGCACCTAAAATTGTCTTATTTCACGGCAAAAGAGTAATCTTTATTTGAAAAGTTAGGAAATAGCGCACTATTTTAGACATATTATATACAAATTTGACCGTGTTGACCTTTTCAACTCTCGGGTTAGCCTCCAAGAATTTTGCAATCTGTAGAGCATTTTCCATATGAGTGCGCATCCTAACGTGTAGTGTCTTAATTCCTCTGTTGACGAGAAAACAGTCAAAAGCAGAAGTAACAGCCCCAACAACTAAATTATCACTTGTTCATATTTAAATGCGATGTCAGTTTCGGTGCTCACAGACACTTTAAAAAAAGAGCTAAAAGCTATTTTATAATGATTGTGTAAGGTACTAACTTAATTGCTGTGAGAAGAAGAATTCATCTAAATGCTTGTGGTTGGTAATTAAAGCACCCATTACAACGTCTGAGTGCCCGTTTATGTACTTAGTTAGCGAATGCATTACAACATCGGCTCCAAGTGACAAAGGTCGCTAAAAATTGATAAAGATTTTTCACAGATTTCAACTATGTAAAGTGATATACTCTGTACTATTTTTACAAACATCTGTCTTTATTCTTCCATGTAACAGTAATTGTTGGTTGGAAAACTTCTAAAACACAAACCTGGAAATATGGTGACATAAATGTATTATCTACAACGACAATAATATCGTTGTTAAACTTTTTAGTCATAGTTGCAATAGCATTTATGTCTGCTAACTTAAGTAACGGGTTTGTGGGAGACTCGATCCAGATCATCTATAAAGTTGATTTTATTGTTCCTGCTTTCATTGACCTTTATAGTAGCTTTTTTTTTTAAATTAAAAAAAAAACCAAAAGAAAAAATTTATTCGCTGCTAACCTTGGTGTTATTTTTTAAAGCTTTTTCAAAGTTGTCGAGATCAGTCATGTCGTAAAACGTAACTTCCAATCCATGTTTAGGGACAGAAATGCGGCGGAAATATCTTTGGGTACCTGAAAGAAAACAACAGCAAATTACAGTGAAACAAATAAAGTTTTAATTAAGTCTAAAAAAAAATAATCAGAAATTCCAAAATTTTTTTTCGTATTTGAAACAATTAATTAATTTTCTATTCCAAAAAAAAAAATTTCCAACCTCCATATACATCATCTGAGCAGATAATATGATCTCCCTGGTTAAGATAACTTGCCATAGTTGCAATTGCAGCCATACCGGACCCAAAAACTCTACCTAAAGAGAAAAAAAAGAACAGAATAGCAGTTTTGCTCAGTTTTGCTCAAGATAAACCAAATGTAGAAGTGTCAAGAGTTGCCAACATTTTAGTATCAACAGTATTATTTGACAAATTTCATTTTCTACCTGATAAAGGAATCTTTCTTAAACTATATCAAAACAGAAATCGGGAGAAAGTCAATGTTTAAGGATTAAGTTACAGTGTTCAGCGTCTTCAAGAGCGGCGATGTTTGCTTCCAAAACATCCCGTGTTGGATTACCCGCGCGTGAGTAGTCGTGTTTTTTTGGTGCACCTGGTGCCAACTGTTTATAGGTAGTAGACAGTGAAATTGGTGGTATTACCTGAAAAAAAAAAAAGGACTTGAAAGAAAACTAAAGCTATTTTATCATATCAGAATAAATATTGTAAAAATATATAAATAATTGCAAATCAATAAATTTGATCAAGTGTAATCAGATTTTTAATTGAAAGCTTAAACTTTCATAGAGACAAGTGAAAGATACATAGCGAACATTTATGCTGTGTAGAAACCATTGTTCAGGATTAGCGATTATTGGCACTTGTTATTTAATCGGAGAAAAAACCGTTTTTTTTTTTTCGGTAAAATTTTTACCAGTATCAATTATTTCAAAACATAACCTCTACAATCAAAGTATTAACCTGATTAAGTTCCCACTGTTCTGGTTCTTGACCAACATGAACAGCTGAGGTACCAAAATGTGGAAATTTGCTGCTCATATTTGCTGCCTCAACGTCTGCTACCGTAGAGTTCAAACTATCCGAAGCTCGAACACGACTGCTGTAAAATAACAAAAAGATGTACACTAAAATTAAAAGAAAAATTTTATAACGAAAAAAAAAGTTCTTTTTTTTTTTTTTTGACGTGTTGAATCAACTTTTGTCTCTTCTAAATTTCCAAAACAAAAGCAAGAAAAGAAAGTTTACAAGAAAAAATTCTTCTATTCTGCTTCTTTTTTTCTTTTTGTTGAAATCTGTTAAAGAATTTTTAGCATACAAAAATAAACAGTAAGTTTGAAGAACAGTTTTAAAGCCGCAACAGCAAAAAACAACAGCACCAACAACAATAATGCTATGATAATGAAAAGATTATTGAAAATAAAAGCTTTCCTTTCAAAAACAACTATCAACATTTTTGAATTAACAACTTTTTTTTTCAGTTTTTTTATGCACGAATGGCATTTAAAAGAAAACTACTTAAACTTGTTTTTTTTTTTTTTTTTTTTTT